TGAAATGCAGTTTAGCACAAGAAATGCTGAACCTCAATTTTTAGCAGTGACATTTTAATGATAGGAAGTCTGCAAAATTATTTGCCATCAATTGTGAAGGCAATAACAAGCCTTGGTGGTTTTTCACACTCTCTGTGTTAAGTGCTTTCAGAATGACAGCGTAAACTGTGTTAGAGAACTCCAAGGAAGTAAAACTGATTAAAATGTTCATGCTTGAATGGTGCTGATGGAATAGTTCATTTGGACTTTCTCTACCTCCTGCAGCTCAAGCTGAAATATTAAAATTCAGTGGATTTAAATCTCTCTCCTCTCAGCTCAGGAAAAAAACATTACATTTTAATAGGTTTTAAACCCATAATTCATTGGTTTGGAGCAGCACTATTAAATCTATTTAAATATTACTTGTATTACTAAGGAAATGATTTAAGTGACTTTGCCTTTACCATCTTGTGTGTTTGAGTTAGTTACAAAAAAATAAGGTAATACCTTTGGAATCTTCCCCTCCCCCCAGCATTTTATTTTATTGTCTTTGTCATATGATTGACCCTTGAATTATACACATGTGTGTGTGTGTGTGAGTGTGTATTTTCCAGATTGACATTCTAGCAGAAGGTCTAGCAGTATGACAGTTTGAAAATATGTGTCCTTTCTTTTCCATTATAGATTTCAAAACTTCCATTTTAAGTTTCAGAGGCATTTGGATGAGCCATCACGGTACTTTGTCTTCTTTATAAATGAACCATTAGATGGAACAACTGAAAGACACATATATTGGTGTATATACATAAAAACAAGTGCGTGTGTTTTTCCCTCCCTAACATCACAAGTGTTTGATACATACCTCTGTGGGCACATGGCCTCCGACAGCCCAACACTTGAAATAAAATTAAAAATACAGCTTCACTTTTTGAACAAAGCAAAAATACATATCTAAGAACCATACTTTGATCTCTCTGTGTTTACCAGTAAAGGGGTCTTCAAAGGTACTGTTGATTTTTGTGTTCATTCAGCTGTTATCCTTTTCGGGCATGGCTATCTCCACAGTGCCAAAGCAGTGTCATCCTTCACGGGCCCACCTCAATCCCCTCAACCCCTTTCCCTCTAGCCATGACCCCTGCAATGTTTGTGTGTGTCCCGTAGCTTGACACCATCTTCCTCTCTTCCTCTATCCACAGGGAAGCACTTGCTTCCCCCCCCCATTGTTTTCTCATGAGACCTTTACGGGAATCGACCCTTCACTTTTGTATGCACAGACCAGACTGGAAGGGTCTCATGAGAGACCCTTCTCAGCTCCGTTGAGGAACCCTGGACCCCACAACGAGACCATCAGTGGGATGTTTTCCACCTGTCTTGTGGGTGGATAGTTTTTGA